TATAAATTATTGCTGGTTTCATTATCACAAAGCATTTGTATTCCCTTAATTGCAACAAAATTTGCAGTAATTAAGTAAGAAATTCATTAAGTTTCAGCAAATTGAATGGATAATAATTGTGGTAAACCTATAATTTCTATGCCAAGCGGTGCATTTGTATTTGTAAGCAATCGGCAACAATAATGCGATGTCAAGTTGTCCATCCGGTAATTACATTATTTGAATGCTCGAAAGATAGATGAATGAATTGATGCTCACTCGTCTTTAATTTATGCCTCTGTCCCTGCTTCCTATTCCTCTGAGCTATCCCAAGTTGCAAGCGATCACCAAAGGATAAGTCTGTACACAAATCGATAGAAGTGGAAAGGAAGATACTTGATGAAACTTTTCGAAAATTTTAAAAGGAGGAAAAGAATTCCTCCGGAATTTCCAATGATTCTTTGCTAAGGACTTACATAAAGTTGTCATCAGTATAAAGTGATGCCATTTTTAAAAATCTTTTCAAAATGCAAATTCTCTAAGACTGACGAAACAAAAAACTTAATATTAGTGATAATTTCCTTTTCACATTACCAGTATTCTTCGCGGTTTGTTTCATATATTTGTTGGTATCAAATCACATTTGAGTACGAAACTATGATTATTCATAATATGCAGGTTAATCATTTAATTCATTACTTGGCTTTACAATTAATGATTGATTTGACTATTATGGTACTGCACACTAATCACTAGACAAGATGTCGTTATTTACATTTACAGTTGTTATTAACAATATTCTATATCATAATCACCATCGTCATTATCACCATCATTATCATCATCATCAAATGGTCGTCTATGTCATTTCGGCAGTTTCAATGATATTAGCAAAGATGGATGGAAAGAGCGCACAAATCGCATTAGTATTTTATTGCTTTTGCAGTGTCGATAATTGAAAAAGCCCATATGCATTGTATAAGTATACATGTATATTCTCATATATTTATATTTATTTATTTATGTATTTATATATTAGATAGCGATAGACATATAATATAACAGCCTTATGAGATGAGCCTAGGCTAATGGGCGAATGGAGGTGGTTTTTGCTATATCTTACCACTTAGCAACAGCCATTCATTCTTCTTTCAAAATCCATTATCAAGACGATCTAATCAACATAACCAACACTAACCATGGGCCATTACCATTATCCCATCAAAATCCTCCTTTTCTACAGTAGGAAAACGAAAAAAGTTTTTTTCATCTTCATCAAAATAATCAACAAAAGGACAATAAATGCATTATAGGTATATATGAATTGGTTGTGTTGGTATATTGGAATTGCTTTTGTTGGAAATGAATGAGAGGGTGGCCAATTAAGCAATTGTGTTTGGCGGAGAGAGGAATTTTTTGATGAGAACGTAAAAATTATTAGAGAACAAACGTAACAATAGAATTTAAGAACTACTGAAGTGATGATATTTTATTTCATATCCTATCCATTTCAGTAGCTCAAATTGAATGTTTACTTTTTAAATGCTAATATTGCGTATCATGGAAAGGTTTAAAGGATTAGAAAGATTTGTGTATATTATATTTTAGATACCTAAACTCCAATCGTCAGCTTAATTTTTGCATGTTAAATACTTTAACCAAATAGTCAAGACAATCTAATCTTTTCTGGACATTTGGAAATAAAATTTGTGATTTTAATGAAGCGTAAATGACCTTGGTTAACCTTTTGAACAGCTTTCTCTCTCAAGAACACCTGAAAAAGTTCATCTCTACCTCTGTAATCAATTTGTAATGCTGTGCTGACCAAAGGGCATTAATATTGAATCATTAGTCCACAGATGGGTCCTTCAACGATGATACATTATTTTCCATTGCTAACACTAATGAAATGCCACTTGAAGGTGTATCGGTGCAGAAGAAAGCATTGAGATAAACCAATTTCTGAAAATGTAACCAGCGGTGGTTTGAAGTTAATATCGTGACTGTAATCATCTCCTCTCTCTATCACTACTCTTGAACGTATCGTTTGCAATGTTTATAATGGAAACTGGAATAATATTTTGGATATTGCCATAATTCTATAATACTATAATTACCCTTATTTTCTTCGTCTATCTGTTATCTTTTCAATTATTGTTATCATTGCTATCACCATTGTTGCTTTAATGTAATTAAAGCAATCATTCTCATTGCTGATAACAAATTGCTTAGAAACATTTTGATGTTTAACTATATGATTTTCGTATTTACATATTGAATGCAGCCTTTAGATATATATGATTTTGATTAGATTTCCTGCTGTAAAAATTTCATTATCAATGTATATCACGATTACAATCATTTTGCCACATTATCATCACATGGATTAATATCATAATCATCATTATTATTAGTTGGAACTATTAAAATTATCGTTTGAGAGAAGAAATGTCAACAGAGTGGCTCAATCAACAAGCTTGAACATGCAACATATTAAGCCTTCCCATGAGATTGCTCTTTTGTGTATTTCAATTAACTTCTTTCATGATTAATTATCGGAATTCTCGATGAATTGCTCCGATTGACAAACACTTACATATGTTGTAACATAATAGTAAGACTAACACACCATGGTTTCAGCATAAGAATTGAATATTTATTATCGATAAGGTTGTTCAAATGATTAATGATGAAGAGATGCTAATAATAAAGACGCAGCATGCAATAAAAATAATGTTTACACTGATGTTTTGTTTTATTTTCATTATTTAAAATATTTCGGTATCTTTTTTGATAATTTAGATTATTAACATTCATATTACATCATTTATTAAAAAAATTGGAAAAACACTTCGTTCAATTTTCACCAAAAAAAAAAAAAAAACGCATAACCTTCACATAAAAAGTAATACTGGTAACGAAAATGATTGAAAAATAGTAAAATGATTAAAAGTTCATGGATACATTAACCTTACAACAACACTTACGTTCAGAATCATACAGAAATAGCATTGATGAATAAATAATGGAATAAGTAAAAGGGATTTTAAATTTGTTGCTACAAATAAAAATTATGATAGTACACAATGTTGAAGTTATTTTATCTGGCAATGCTGGACAACTTTAAATTCATAAAATTTAAATTCATTTCAACCATAAAACAAATGGTTTCAGAATTCAGATGTTTATCCAAAAGGATTCTTACTCATCTATCAGTGAAACAAATCAACAGAAAAATGCATTAAAATCTTAATCTAATTGAAAATTTTCGATTTTTTGATTTTTTCAAACAATAAAGGATTTTTAGTTGGTTAAAATGATATATAAAATATATATATATTCGTTGACAACTTGTTTTATAAAAAAAATTTAAGTTTTGTCAGAATTTCTCGTTTCTTTTAGCGTTTCAAAACGATTAACTTCAATGCATCAGTTCTTCGCATTTAGAAACACAAGGACAGAATAATCTTTATGTCGATTAGCAATTTTTAAATTTGAACTCATCCAAGAACTATTATACTCAACCGAAAATTTCACATCTGTTAAAAACATCGTTTTTAAAAATGAATGATATAAAAAAGAAATTTTTTCAGGAAGTGTAAATTGTTCCTAAAATTAGATTTGTATCTTTAATCCTTTTTACAACTTTAAAAATCTCATTATTTACCGACTGGCAGATGTTAATATAAATTCAATTTCCTAATGTGAATGATTGATCAATAGAGAGAAAACATTTTAATTTGAACGGCTTTTCTGAAAAGCAGTAAATCAAAAAGTTTGTCATTTCCGTAATGCAAAAAAGTAACTGCATTTTATTTTTTAAGTTTTTTCAACAGTCTTTATCATCTTTATGAAAATCGAAATTTCCTGTAGTTTTGCAAAAAGAACAGTTCAAGATAAATTTAAAAATTAGAAATATATCAGCATCAAAAATTTTCCCTAAATTCTTCGAAAACCGATATTTTTTTTGGTGTCATCAGAGACGAAACTCATTGTTAACGAATTCCTAGCTTTTGAGTGTATCTAAATTTGCTAAATTATTGAATGCATTTTAAAAGATTGAAAAAAAAAATGGTAAAATTAATAAAAACGGTGTAGTTTATAAAAATAAGTTGATAAAATTTAGTAAAAAAAATCACACTTATCAAACATTATTGATAAATTCTTTTACAGTTAGATAAAAATTATTATAAAAATTGAAATTCTGAATTTCTGTCTTTAAAACGTTATAAATTTGATTCATTTTTATATTGTTAGAATATCTCACTATAGCAAAAATTTGTATATTTGAATTTTTGGTTTGTTGTTCATTCCATTTTACCAATGTCAAGGGCACTAAATTACATTAATGAAATTAAGAAGGAAAGAAATGGAAAATTGTTCGGTAAAGACTGACCCAATTAATGAAAAATGAGTGTTCGGGTCGACTAGAAATGAACTAAGCCTACTTTTCGCTTAATGCCGCACACTGGTAAAGTCTTTCTTTCATTTTACATGAAGATCCTTCTATCTTATTCACCATTTTTTCGATGAAAGCAACAGGGGAGAATCAATGATTGCTACGCTTAAGGAGGAAGAAAAACGAAGAATAGTTGAGCTAGATGAGAGTCAAAAGCCTAATCCCTCACGGAATTTCAAATTAAAAAAGAAATCCATTTAGTATGATCGGAGTGTCAAAGAATTCCTGAGCTTGAGGAGTGTGTTGTTCCTAATATCATATAAATAAATCCCTTTCTTAGTCATCTCATTAAATTGGCAGCAACATGATTTAAGATGCTCCAGGATTTTATACTACATTTTAATCCGCCATGTTGAACTATGTTCAAGTAATGTTAAATGCAGCATTTAATAATGGATCAAGAAAAAAACTGGCTCCATTTAAATGAAACAAATTTCCGGATGTAATTTCATCGATCCTTCTTCCTTTACTACAGTGATTCAGTTTTGAATTCTGATCCTAATTACTTTTAGAAAAGATGTTTGCTGTTTAATTCTTTTGCTCTTTTCTTTGAAAGATCACAATGCATAACGATGATTTATTTCGTTTCGTTGCAATCGGAAATGTTGTAATAAGTATTCTAACAATAGTTTGCATCACTTCCTTTATTCCAATATTCAAGGCTAAAATTGAAAATGAAACAATGGAGACACACATGATGGTAGAAAAATTCCAGGTTGGCTCATCCATCATCAAGCTATTACTATAAGAAATATAACATATTAACTTTTGCATTCATCTTACTTTAATTTTGTTTGTCTTACTTTATAATTTATGATAACTTATCTTTGAATTGATTATCGTTGTATCACTATTAATTATTCGAAATTAGGAGAAGACAGACGAAATATGGATCAATCTAAGGAACTTAAATGCACAGAGATTTCATGACAAGTTGCTGTATTATCGGACAGTGCGATCATTCTGGTATGGCGGAACATGTCGAGGCGGGTTTTCTTTTCAACCTATCATTTAGAAAGCTGTTTAATTGTTTTTACTAATATATCATAAAACAGGATGCTATTCATTGGCATGTCCGTATGGGCCACCTGGACCACCAGGTCCTTCGGGATTAGATGGTCTTCCTGGCAACGCTGGAAAACAGGGAAAACCAGGTACGGACGGTTATGATATACCATTGAAACCGGAATCTGTTCTTCCATGTGTTCTTTGTCCAACTGGTCCACCAGGACAACGGTAACCACATTTTTACACTCATAAAAAAATTTCATTCACCCTCCAGTTGACAAAATAACAAATTTGATATTTTACTTCAGCGGTTCACAAGGTGAACGAGGACGGACGGGCGAACCAGGACCAAAGGGAACAGTAGGAGAACATGGAAGGCCCGGGATGGACGGTAATGCTGGAAGGACAGGGATTAAAGGAATGCGTGGGGAAAAAGGAAAACGAGGACCTCGAGGACCAGAAGGCGATTCAGTTGTTGCAGGTTCGGAAACTTATAATTTCCGTTGCTCATTTTAATAATAATCGGTCATCGATCCATTTGTTTATGGAATGTAACAAGTACTCCAAAGTATAAACAGTTACAAACCATCAACTTCAGGTAAAGGAATTAGAGGTGCAAAAGGGCCAGCAGGTTCCACAGGTCCAAAGGGTCCTATGGGTATACCAGGAAAACCCTCAAAACTGCCTGGTGAATCCGGTAATCCGGGTAGCCCCGGTCGTGTTGGTCCGTACGGCAATCCAGGACACAGAGGGGTCGAAGGATCATGGGGACCACCCGGTGAACCAGGTAAACGAAATACCAGTACATTGTAATCATTACTTATTCGGTTGTCTCATCAGTTTAACTACTATCACATGATCTAAATTGTCAGCAAGTCTATCCCCCAAATTGCTATGTTAATTTCAGGTACTCCAGCTGAATACTGCCCATCAGACTGCGGAATTTCCAAAATCTATAATCCTCCATTCGAGTCCAAGCAAGAAAAAACTCCTGACAAGTACAGTAATAAACAAGGATTGTATCAGACATATGGCCTGAAGCATGGATTTGAATTACTGCAATTAGATCGAAATTAGAAAGAAATCCACACATCATAAAATATATTCCCCTGTATGGTTTTAATAATTTACATACCCACGATAACACAAGCTCAATAAATCTTGATATATCCTTTTGTTCTTTAGACGTAACAACTAAATTAAATCACTAACCACTAAAATCTCTCCATGCAATTTTAGTAATATAGGTGAAATATACTATAAGAAGCAAAACTTATTTGAGCTAATAAATGTATTGCTGTTTTCTTCTTCCCACCCTGTTCAATATAACAACTGTCACATTATTGGGCGATACTTCTGCATAGTAAATTTTGATGTAGCGCTTGCAATAATTTTAAAGCGTAAAGCCGACTGTCTATTAAATTTCTAGATGCACTGTTATGAAAGAAATCACAAAGAGCAGACGAAAGAATAAAATGAATATTTCTTATCAAGCAATCACATAGAGAGTAAATCAACAATCTTTTAAAAGAAATTGGAGAGTTCAAGACAAGACTGAAAAATACATGATTCGAAGCTGTTCCTGATTATTCAAAATTTTTGCGGTACGTTGTTACCTAAAACACAAAACAGATCTAAGACATTCTGTAAATCAAATAAATCAGAAAAACTTAAAACAAGCCACATGCATCCATCGGAGATTAGAGCAATCCTAATCTTGACGTACCATAATGAAACTAATCAGTACGTAACTATACTTTCTTTTCATTTAACGAATAATTATTCGTTATTTCGACATGCTTAATTATCCTTTCCTAATTGTGTTCAGAGTAAAGATCAAATTGAAAGAATAAAGATTCTAAAAACCGCAGAAAATTGTACTATTCAAATAATATGATCAAAGAGACAAATAGACAGAGATGCATAGTGAAAGATGTAAATACAGAATAAATGACTAAACACAATATATTTATATATTACAATTCATTTCACAAATGAAAAAAATGAATCGGAAATGCATTTAAACAAATATTAAATAATCAAGAAAAAAAAAAAAGAAAACAAAATATGTTCCATTTCTAATGGTACAAACATTAAAAAATACTTTAAGTGCTTCATTCAAATTATTGATAACAAAACAGGAAATAGAACAGAACATAAAACCTTACACAAGATAATGAATTGAACAATTCTTTTTTAAAAAATAAACTTTTATAAACATATCAAGAAGAGTTTAACTTTAGCTCAATAGAGAAATTATATTCCATATTTTTTTGAACGAATCATTACTAAGAACTACAAACGTTTAAAAGTCAAAACATCACAGTGTAACAAGCATTTTCAACTTTTCTTCTAATACAAATTTTGAACTAGTCAAGATTAGACAGTCAAAAGTTGCAAAAACAACGTTTTGGGATAAGGGAACTTATTGCGAAAAAATCAATTTTACAACTCATTTTATTTCAGAGCACGACAGTTAAAAGAAAGGAATAAATTAATCAAAAAAGAAAACCAAAAATCTTAACGGACAGTTTATTAAACCACAAATCTTCAAGGTTCTCAACTCACATAGGAAAAAAAATCAAATATTCCATCTATTTTTTATACCTCATATTCATATCAGACATCAGCTTCAACTAAATAAATAAATATATAATGGCTATGAAAGATGAATAAATAAAAAGTCAGTAGCACTAAACTTTAAGCTAATAATAATAAACAGAAAAATCTTCGTTGTAGTACAATATTTTGAGGATAAAATATTAAGCTACAAAAAATGAGAAGCCATAAGAACAAACCTGAAAAGACCGAAAAACAACATATTTGCCCGATAAAAACCGCAACAGCCAATCTAAACTGTAAGGACAACAACTCATACTCATCTATACTGAGTTATTTTGGCTTTCTTATTTTCGATCGCATCCAAAATTGGCTGCCTTTTGGTCTGATAGCGCGCTTGCAACTCGCGTAATTCCACATCCATGTCAGCTTCTAGATTTGCTTTTCTTCTCATTAATTCCTCCAGTGGAAGTTCAGCCAACTAAAATCTTCTTACAAATATTCCAACTTTTTAAGCAAGTACAGATATTAGAAAACAAAGTTTATTTTCTGAAGCAAATTTGTTAGAACAAAAATAATTGGCTTTAGCATCATGTATATGTCATTTGATGCCATTACAGCAATGAGTGAATTAAAAACATAGCTGAAACAAAATCGAATTTTGTCGCTGCTTTTTAAAGCGAGATTTTTCTCGCAAATTAAAACCTTATTATGGCATAAGACTTCATGCCATATTTAAATCTACTCGACTCGACGTTTCTTGCTTTTAAGATTTAAAAGTCGCTAACAAAACTGTAGTCGCCATCTAGGTATGCTTTATTAAAATGTTGATCGATATATGAAGTGTCGCAAGATGAATCTGTACTGAAGAATGTTTGCGGCATACCAATACCATTTACCATATCTCCATTACCATAATAAATACCACCATTCATTGGAATTTTCTTATCCCTCTTTTGCTCTTCCATTTTCTGGTTTACATAGAGCATCTTATGACTGGATAATTCCAATGACTTTCCTGCAAAGTATGAGCACTGATTAATGAAATCTTGTTTATTTTCTAAGCTACCAATAAATAAGAAAAAGAGTCTATCTGATATTCCACGAGAAATACGCGGTAAAGGTTCAGCGAGCTGATATCTAATTTAAGAATCTTTCTAGTGTAAAATATACCTCCTTCAGTTACTGAATTTGCTTCTTGCGGGTTATGCACGTAACTTGTATCACCTGGAGGACGAATACCAGTTAGTCGCATTGAATTAACCTGCTGCGTAATTGTTTCTGAAGATACCATTTTATAAGGTTCTCCTGAAATTCAATTTTCCATAGATTCAAACAAAATAGAAAAACTTTTGAGATCCTAACATACTTTCTTTTACCTCCAAAGTTTCCTCATGCTTGAAATAAGTAAAAAATAAAGTAGTCAAGAAAGTTCATTAACTCAAACAAGACGAATCCGCATCAAAATGACACCTGTAAAAACCACCTACAATTTCTAGCAAAATCGCAGAAAAATAAGTGATATGTGATATACCACTGGTTGGTGTTGATGGAATATCATGCCGTATAAGTGTCATATCCTCCACTTCACTAGATTCATCACCATGTATTCTTTCATGTATTAAAGTGGAATCACCTGCATCTTCGTTTGCACATTCCTGAATTAACAGAAAATGGAAAAAGTAACTAAAAGAATAAGACTGCCAAAAGTTTAATAGTAAAACACCTGGAATTCCTGAACAGAAGAATCAGCGATGCTTCGAGCTTCATCAATCATATTCAACAAAACGGTTGATGGTGGTGCGTTAATCACAAATGGATGCTTAAAAAAGCGTGAAATTCATGAGAATCACTTATAAATATCTTCGAAAATAATATCCAGCAATCAAATCAGTTGCTATCAAGCGTAATAAATCCCAAACCTCTAAGTTCTAAATCTTTTTAAGAGATAACTAGCGAAAATAAGTACTTCATTTTTTAATGAACAATAGATTAACTGGTGTAAAACGATAACAGATATACTTGAAAAAATACTTTTAACTAGCCCTCAACATTTACTAAAGAATTCATAAACTTAACATTTCTTTAATTGCTGCCTTTGTGACATGACGTATTTTCATACCTCTAGTAGATCATGGGCTGATTTTCTCTCGTCAGGGTTTTTGATCAAACACTGACCAACAAAATTCACAAAATCTAGTGACCAGTCGACTTCACGTTTCAGTGTTGGTGGTGGTTTTGTTGGAATCATAAAAATTGCCTGAAGTTATAAGAAAAAGACGTTTACAGATATAAAACAGTACAACCTATGAATTATTTTCAAGCTAACAGTAACATCTATATTTTGGTAAAAATGACACTAGTAAAATCTTTACAACCATAAAAATAATTCCCTGCTTTAAGCACGTAGTACAAACCCTCATTGGATGAATATCAGCATGTGGTGGACGACCTTCAGCCATTTCCATGGCAGTAATCCCAAGCGACCAGATGTCGGCTTTCGTATCATAACCAATTTCTTGAATCACTTCTGGTGCCATCCAAAATGGTGTTCCAATAACAGTGTTTCTTTTAGCCATAGTATCCTGCAAAGAAACAGTCAAATTGAAACTTCTTAATTCATTACTCGTCCTTTATTTCGCAACGATATACCGTTAACTGGCCAGCGACACCAAAGTCTGCTAGTTTCCCATGACCTTCCGCATTCAGCAATATATTGCCAGCCTTGATATCTCGGTGGATCTTCTTTAAATCATGCAAGTAACGTAAACCTTTCAGAACATCCCTGAAAATAAAGAAAGCCTTCTCCGAAACTGTTACCAAAAATTGTTCGGACTAATTACAGAAACTTACTCACCTAGTAACAGCACCAATTTCTGCTTCATTTAATGTTTTTTTACGAATCCTCATAATATCTGAAACTGAACCAGCGCCACAATATTCCATAACAATCTTTAAAATATGAACTCTTAAACATCATAAAAGATTATTCGTGACACTTATCAAAAAATGATTTAAAAAGAAGCAGTAATTAAAATTCATACGATAGAAAATACTGCCCGATATTAGCACTCACCTCAAAGAAAGAGTTGAATAGTCTTCATCTACACTAATGCTTTTTACATTTCTTTCCACAATACCAACAATAAATAAACTATGTACACATAATGAAAAATATATACCCAAAGGTCGGAGTTTTTGAAGTATGACCCGTAGTATTTAACAACATATTTACTGTCACACTGTTGCATTATACTAATCTCTTTGATAATTTCCTGCAAATCCGTATCCACAGGCACTTTCTTAACTGCGAGCACATGTCCAGTTTCCTTATGAATTGCTTTGTGTACCGATCCATACGACCTGAAAAGCTCTTGCAAATCTATGAAAACATTTAACAACTTTAACTGATACTTCTTACACACATGTATTTGGACATAAATTTTGAATTTTAAATAAGTGTATGTGAAATAAAACAAGCAAACATTAAAGCATTAAAAGTAAATTTTATAAATTGGACAGCTATAAAAAGAGCGTGTAAGAACCCCCTTAAGGCTTAAACAATTTATATTTCTCTTGAAAATTTTACTTTTGGCTTATTAAAGATTATAGACTTGCAAGAATCTCATTTTTTTAAACACAGCTAATAATAATTCCCAAAACATTTTCTTGCTAATAATTTTATTTAAAAATTTAAATCACGCACAAGAAGTTAACATGGAAAACCAAAAAGTAATATTCCCTAGCAGATAATTATAAAGCCCTAAAAAAGTCCAGAGATATGAAGTCAGACCCTTCGCCAAGTTTCCCGACAACATCGAATACTTCTTCTGGTGGTTTATTCAGTGAAATCGCATCCAATTTGAACCGATCTCTATGAAAATGATAAAAATGAAAGTGAACTTTAAACAGTAAGTTAACTGCGACGGTTAAGCACTTACAGAAACTTTTCAAATTTCATTTGAATTCGAACAATACGAAATCTGGAATTAGCAAGAAAGAAAGCAAATAAGTGTTATTCATTAAACCAAACTTTATATTAGAGAATTCGAACTAAAAATTAACTGAAATGAGACTACCTGGATATTTCAGAGTTGCAATGATCTTCATCATACAGCGACATCACTCTCCTGCAATCTTCATCAATTTCTCAAGCAGCTCCCTGCTGAAAACAATAGTTCCTCAAACTACTGTAATGAATGAAATTACAGCTACTACTGTAAAGCCAATTTTATTCCATGCGCAAAAAATACACACGAACAAATTCGTGCAAATCGTTTCTTCAAAACACTTCATTACACATTTACGGTACGTAAACAATTAGTGCTTTAAACGACAGATATATTTTAACACCACGTTTAAATGCGAAATTCTTATACTACAATTTATTCAAAATATTATACATGAAAAAATAACGGAATGATAGCGTATCTTTTAATTAACGAACTATGTAAGGCACAGGAAGAGTTATTCTATCGGAAAGAACTGAAGATCAGCGATTGAAGCGAGCGGTAAGAGGAAAGAGGTGATACCTACATTAGATAGTGCTGTAGAATGTCATCAGGAACGTTAACAAGAATATTTCCCTCTCAGGCAGTACCTAAAAAGAAATAAATATGAAAGACAGCCAGATATATCTATCATTCCCTGTCTCTCTCAGTGTGAGACAAGTAAAACAATGATTTGTCATCAGTAGTAAACAATTTTTAAATTAAATCGTCTGCTGCCTACTCTTTATCCATAATGTTTCTCCCTTTCCATCTTTCACCCATCAAACCTTCCTTTGTTTTCTATTCTGACTGCTGCTTCGTCAAAAACGAAAGCTGCAATCATAAGCTATTTGGTAATGGCATAAAGAGAAAAGACTGGTTTTTTAATTTCACCGTTCACAGGAATTGTTTGCCTAACACTTCAATATTTTTACAAAAACTACCACTACTATGTTGAAATGACTCATATCATTGGCGATATCGATAAAATTTGAAGTCAAAACTTAGCAACTACAAACTCAAAAATCAATTATCCAAACGCTTCAGCATATCAAAGAAATTAGAAAAATTTGGTTGCGCAAATCAAGCAACTTCAAATTAACCGTTTTATATTACCTAACAATCATTTAAAGTATTGGAATGAATGACCACAACTTGAGAAATGTATGAATTATATATCGAAATGCTATCGAAATTAGAGAAAATTTGTACAAAAAGACCCGAAGTGAAATATTGTGAACGTACATTGTGGGATACCTTTGTTGCACTGAGTTCATTGGTGGTCCTATACGGCCCAGAGTTACAGGGAAGGTTTCCCCTGTTGGGGGTTTCGCACTTTTGTCCTTCCTTGGCTGTGCAGCAGACTTGTGTTCCTTTCTACCAGTTTTCTTTATTAATTAGTTATAAATTGGGAATGAAATGCTTTCTGGTCGTAATAGGTAACCCATTTTAGCACTATTTTATGACGAAATCTCGAAGACATTCAACATCATTCGTATACACCGTAAGTCACACAGAGTTAGTTTGTCACTATCAGTGTTTCAGTTCTAAAAGGTTCATATTACTTTCCAGTGGAAAAGTACGCAGGAAAAGTAATATTGAAAGTAATATTGGAGTGAGTTGTGAAAAAAAAGGGGTTCTTTCCATTTCTTTCCATAAGGCTGAAATAGTGAATGTGGACAATGCGGGTTTCGGGTGGACACGCTTAGTCTCATAGTGTTCTGATTTAGCATCACCAAGGGAAAGGGTTGGAAATTTGATGAATGTTTAAGTGCAAAGTTATCTAAGTAATATCCAATGTAATCGTTTTGCTCAAGATATTAATAAAATAAAGGTTGGAGGTGGTGCTTCAATTCTTTCTATATATCAGTTGGATTATTATGTCTAATAATTCTTATCATTGTCTGGAATCTTTTTAAAGTATCTCTGTGCATATTTGTGTGCAATATTTTCCCATTCACATCACATTATTTTCAATGATTTTCTTAAATCCTTGTAGTATGACATTTTCTTCTCTTTTTATCTCTTAAACTCTACGTTGTGTTTGACCACTTTCAAAAATATGCTATTTTCAACCTATAATTTGGAAAGAATTCACAGGGAACATTTATTTTAAATCATGGATTTTATTGCAGTAGCTCCGAGTACGCCACACAGGTTGGGAGTTTGGTTATCGGAAAATTTTCTTTAACAATTACCGTTTTCTTTCTTGACATTTTTCATTCTAATTTTCTCAAACCAAAAGATACTGTTATTGTTATTGCAATTTTGCTGGTTTGTTTTAAATTTTCCTTTCAAGGAAATATTGACAACTAGGCCGTTATATAAGCCAGCTAAAATTGCATTTGAATTACATTGCTTATCATTACTCATTGATGTTATCTATGGTCTTCTTAAGATAGTTTTCGTCTTATATTTCTGTTATAACAGGTCAGAATCGCATTGCTTCTACCGTTGTTATTTTTATATGTTTTTATTTCACATTTTGTTTTTTTTTAATCTTATTTCCCTGTTTTCATATATGCACACATTTACTAGAATTTTTTAGTTCATGAGATAAAATTAATTGGGAACTAAACAAAGTTGGAATTCATTGGCTAAGGCACAATAGACATTTATTGCTGTGATTACAATGATTATCACCAATTCCGTTCAGCATACATAATGGAATTTTGTTTCGTTTTAAGGAATGTCATCGTCTCGTTTGCCATCAGATTGTACGATACAGGGGCCATCATGGGATGAATTTGATCGTTCGGAAGAGCTAGATTACAACAGTGGTTCAGATCACGAAATTGATGAACAAGGCTGTCGTTCGAGGAACTTTGATCTTGTCGCACCACCAGGTTAATTTCTGTTACGTTTTTAATGATCAGCAAGGCGTTCACCGAACTACACTTTTGGTTTTTCTTCGCTTTTCTTTGTTCAGAACTCTTAACTACTTTTTTAAGGATTTTCTGCTACAGCAAGACAAATTCAAATGCATGTGGATGAAGTGCGTCTTACTCAGAGTAATTATCTCGATCAATTACCAAACAGTGTGAACGAACTTGGAACCACAGCATCGTCTGATCAACAGCGATACGGTTCATATCTTTGTCTAATATGAATTTAAAGTGTCGACAATTCGTAGGGATTTGTTAGAATAGTTTTCTCGGTTGTAACGAATTTTATTCGGTAACAACTACTTTATACGATTAATGCATGTTGACAATATACTGATAGTTCGTATAGGTATTATCTGTGAGTATAGGATGAAGCGTAAGAAATAAATGAATACGAAAAACAAATAAAGGATATAAATGAAGAGAAACAAATGAGGGTATAAGACCAACCAAATTATAGCCTGTTGATCCTCAAAAGCTTGCCTAAACAAAGGGTTCAATCCTTATTTAGTAGGCATTGGTTTACAACAAGCACATGATTACAGTGAATGAAGAGCTGTCTATCGGATGATCTTTACTCTTTACATAGTAGGAGTTAGGTTTAATAGTATGTCGGTTGCTTATAGGAATGACTGCTAGATTAGAAAAGCTTCTAAGCCAAATCTACAGTGCATGTTGATTTGGCTTAGAACTTTCAGCAGGTTAAATAATGCCATATTCTGTACTAACAACCGTAATATTCCAGACAATGAAGATAAGCTAATCCTACAACTAAACATGAGTGAAAAAAAAAACAAAAACAAATGATTGCTTACGGTATAGAATTCTGGAACAGTTTTATATTTTTGTGAGAGGAATATTCAACTAATATAGTCTTTAGTCCCTTGGATTTAATACAATTTTATTTCGACATATTATAATTCGGTTTTTCCAACAAGAGAAATCTTGGAATAGAAAAAGTTCACACTTCGATCGTTCTATAGCTAATCTTTTTAGGACCTTCCTTACCTCCCGGCTTTACGAATAGCAGCGAAGAAGATGATCCGGAAGATCCTGGAGATCCAGAAGATCCCGATGAAGGCGATTCGCAATCTGCAATGCCAAATATGTGCTCATTTCGTAAGTAAATCCAAAACGCAACTAATACATTGTTGTGTGTTTTATTCATTATTTATCTTATTTTTATTCAGTAGTGGCTTTTAGCTTGGCAAGTATTTTAAGGCTTGCTAGATTCTGTAAATTAGTTTTACAGTCCAATTTTCAATGCCGAACAATATTCCGTCTTCATCCTCTCAGTCTTCCTCTTTTGACCCTACCGTACCAAATTCGTCGGAAATATTCGCACCTTCGCTTCCGGAAGAAGAAACAAAGCGTTCACGAGGTAATTTCATTGTGTAGTGGAAATTGGATCATGAATTTGAAAATGCCGATTTACAGATTTCAAAGCAAATATTTTTATATGTTTCCATCACAGCTGTTAAATAATCAGTTTACCTTAGCTCAAGCTTATTATATTCCATTCATCTGATAACACACAATTTGTCATAATTTCTTTTTGCAGAAAGTTTTTTACTACCTCCTCCGGAACCTGGCGAAGCACATTCTTCAAGTGCAGGCTACTCGTTGAAAAGAATGATTGGTCCATCAATGCCAGATCTGCTACCAACAGTTGCTAATTTAGGAGTTTGTCTTTTATCTTTGTTTACCTGCTTTCGGTAACTTTTCTATTTTTTAATTTATTGCATAGTATCCTCTTTCTTAGTTTTCTGAGTGTAATTCTAACTTCAGAATGATGATGAAGAGGACAGCAGAGATGTCTACGGCCCAACGATACCTTACGATTTGCAAAATAAGCCATCTACATCCGGTGGGAAAGACTTAGACGTTGAAGTACCTATTGATGATGAAACTTGTGGTCACGATAATGGTGATGCGAGTGGTGTTTTCGGTTCGAGTCTTTGTTTCCATTGTGCCGTTCAAAACAGTTCTTTTGATTTTAAGTCGATGCTAATTAAATTTTGAGGTTTTTTCAATAATTATTTTGTCAGATTTTTCGTAGTGAACTGAAATGTCAAGTGCTTTAGGTCCAGTTCCTCCTTGGGAACAAAAAGGCAATGGAGACGATGAGTATGCAGAGAGATTAGTGCGTCTAGAGATGCTACAAGCGAGTAAGGTAATGATGGATTTTATCTGTTAAAGTGAAAATTAATTTTCACTTTGAAAATAAGTTTTGTTTTAATAGTTTTCTT